TCTTCTGAACGGGGACCGGCGGGGCGGCCCTGCGGGCGCGTGGGGTGCCCGTCCCCAGTTGGCTAAAATTGGGGGTTTGGTTTCTCCCAGGACAGCTTTCGGCCCGACTGCGCCCACCAGCCCGGGCCGGCCTTCCGACAGAAACTTCGCGGGAATCTGAGCGGCGCGGGTCCGCACGTCCCGCGCGGGGCTGCCAGGACCGGCGTCCCCAAGCAGCCCAGGGGCTGTGCCCCGCTGCGGCCGGCCGCGTCCCCGCTGGCCCCGTGGTTCTGTGATGCCAGCCCCGGCCGCGGTGGCCCCTCACCCTGGCCAAGCCCGCAGCACGACGGCGGGGACGGTCCCCTGCGCCCCCCGCCCCGGCCAGGGCGCGGCCACCGCGGTCCGTGGGCGGAAGGCCAGGCGCAGCTCCGGGAACCGGCCGGGGGCGCGTGGAGTGCAGACCCTGCGCGGCGCCGCCCGCGTCCTCCCGCAGGGTCCCGGCCCAGGGTGTCCGCACTGAAGGGCCCAGAGCCAGCGGGCAGCGGGGGAGACGCCTGGGCACCGGCAGAGTGCCGCGGGGACCGGCCCTCCCGGGCCGCCCGCATCCCACAGTTGGTCTCCGCCCCCTTAGTCCGCCTTTGGGCCCTAAGGGCACAGCCCGACCTGGAGTAAAGGTGGCAACCCCTGAAAGGGACCCGAAGGTGAGGAGAGCGGCGCCTGAGGGTCGGCTGCTTGAAGTGACAGGGCGCTTCCTGAACAGCGCCCATCACTTCCTAAAAAGCGACAGGTTAGAAAATCGTCTAAAATCAGGACGTGCAGGAGCCCTTCCCAGCGCTAGTGCTTACAGACGGTGGGCTTTGGGCGGTAGGGTTACACGCATGGTGTGAAAGGGTCTTCATTAAAAAGTGAGATTGGAAACATTAAACAGAAGTCAGTGAAAGGCGCCAGCTAAAGCAGGTCCCAGGCACTGGGTCTGCCTGGGAGAGCTTGGCCTGGAGTGGAATCGTTACTTCCCTCCATTCTCTCTACTCTGTTGACTGAAGTTCCACCAAGGTCTTTCTAAGTTGTGAGTGCTCTTTCATGTTCTCAGTAACTCATCTGAAAATTCCATTCACTAAGAAAGATTTTTTTTTTTTTTCCTTTTTGGGGGCAGAAGGAGCTCTAGTGGGGAACTGGGAGGCAACCTACTTCTGTAAGGATTTAGAGCCTTGGAAACCCAATGGGAATCCCTATGAGTCAGAATCGACTAGATGGCTGTGAGTTGGGCTTTTTAGTTTTTGATTGACTGATAGAGGAGCCCCGGTAACGCAGTGGTCAAACGGTTTGGCTGCTAAGGAAAAGGTCAGCCTTTGCGACCCCCAGCTGCTGTGCTTCTGTAGAGATTTACAGCCTTGGAAACGGTCCTGGCACTTGTGTCTGTCCCACGGGGTTGCCGTGCGCTGGAATCGATTTGACTGCTGCAGGCTTGCTTCCCTGCTTCAATGCGTGAGCGCGGGGACCGCGAGGCGCAGCTTTGCCGCGCTCCGGGATCCATTTCCGCCCGGCGCTCAGGCTATCCCAGCAGCCCCGGCGCCGCAGCCATGTTGGCTCGGCTGTGGCCTTCATGGCGCTGTGGAGCCGCTAGGCCTCTGAGGGCCTCAGCCCTCCCGACTGCCTGGAGGGCGTTCAAAGGACGGGGTCTGCCTTCCCGAAAGGTGGCGGGTGCTGTGTCAGGTGAGCTGGCCTGTGCCACCTGCTCGCTCGGCGCCTCTCTGCCCCTCGCCTGCCGCTCTGCCTCCTTCGCCGTCGTTTGTCGCTGTGGGGCATGCCCAGTGCTCGGGGCCCTCGTCAGGACGCTCTGGACGAGCCCCAGGCGGGGTGCGGCCCGGTCCCCGGGGCGCGGGCCCGCGGAGGTGGCCTGCTGGCCTCGTTGCAGGAGCCGCGGGCTGAATCAGGCCTCTGGCCCCCTGGCCTTCCCTCGCCGGCTTTTGTGGCGCTCACAGAGGTGGCCCTGCTCACAGAGGTGGCCCTGCTCACAGGCCTCCAGGCCCTTATTAGCTTTCACCCGGAGTGTTCTTGTTGGAGCCGGCCGGAGGCGCCCCCTGGCAGAGCTGGGGTGAGTCCCCCACCACCCCCGGGGCTGCCAGCACGGCAGGTGGCATTGGTGGTTTGCCCAGGAGAAGCTGTACAACAACACACGTAACAGTCACGGGGTCAGGCTTGGAGCAGGCCCTAGGACCCCCACTCCTCAGACCACCAGGAGCCAACCCCAGCTGTCCCAAAGGGCTGGCCCCCAGGCTTCAAAGCTGTGGGATTTTCTGCTCGGAGAACACTGGTCCGACTCACTGAAGCTTTTCAGCACACACATTGATCCGGGAACCGGACTCTCTAGGTCTTGGCTGTGAGGGAGCTGCTTTCCTGCAGCCTCTGGCAGGAGGCTGGCGGGGGCTGAGCTGCTGCAGGGCTTGGACATTCAGGGCCCAGGCGGAGCCGCACACAAACACAGGCCAGGCTGGCTGCTTGCTGTGGACCAGGTTCTATGCTAGGGGATGTTCCACATGTCATTTCATCCCTTCCTTAGCCTCCATGGGCATGCACTTTTATTGTCCCCACTTTACAGATGGGAAATTGAGCCCAGAGAGCTTAAGCCACTTGTGCTAGCTCACACAGCACGCTGGGGAGCCAGGATGCAAACCTGTGCAGTCGGACAGAAGAGACCTGGATCTTCCCTGCAACTGTCATCCAGTCATGACAACCCTAAGGAACAGCAGCAGACTTCACTCTCTTGTGGCATATCATTTTCAGACACCTCACAAGGATTCCTGTTGACTGTCTATGTCAGAGTTCCTAACCCCACTGCCACGAGTCGATTGCAGCTCACAGTGACCCTCATTGGGTTTCCAAGGCGGTACATCTTACAGAAGCAGATTGCCCAGTCTTCCTTCCGCAGAGATGCTGGTGGGTTTGAACCACCAACCTTCTGGTTGGCAGTCAGATGCCTTAGGCACTGTACCACAGACCTTGTCAGAGTCCCTGGGTGGCATGTTTAACATGCTCAGCTGCTGACTGAAAATTTGGAGGTTCCAGTCCACCAGAAGAAAGGCCTGGTGATCAACTTTCAGACAGCCTCTGAGAACCCTGGGGGGTAGTTGTACGCTGCCACGTGTGGGGCGGCCACGAGCCGCAGTCAGTCGAGCAGCAGCTGCTGTCTGAGTTGTTAGAAAGGCTTAAACTC